CACATGGTTTTAGTTCTTACTTTCTTTATCTCTCTCTCTCACACACACACAAACACACACACACACAAATATGAGTAAACGTAGAGCTATATACAGATATAGTTACTAAATCCGTCTAGACTTCCCGAGAGTTCATTTGTTATAAGTATATGGGTCAGTAACTAAAGCTAAATCGGTGATTTCTCTGAGTCTATTATAAACTTTGGGCAGTTAAAATAATGTTCTCAGGATCCGATGTTTTCTGTTAAATGGCTTGAAAAGCAAGAAATTAACCCTTCCTTACTGGAAATGTGAGTAGTTTCCTTAACGACTGTATCAGCCTGTAAAACCAAACTAGGATGGACTAAGATAAATCCGCCGCCATCTCCAAGTAGGGTCAACATACGTGTTTCTTCATTATGAGCTTTCAAATGAAATGGACATGAGATTAATAATAATAAAAAATTGTGCCCTCTGTTTTTCAATTCAGTGAATGAAATGTTTATAAATCTTTGAAATATTTCTTGATAAGTCAAAGTTAAGAAGTTGTTAATGTGAAAAAGATGAACATTAAGTGATTTTATCTAGTTTTTATCCTAATTTCGACGGATATGTTCGAACACGTCAGAACTTATAGCTAATTTAATAACATAGTTGAAAGAAAATCTTCAGTATTTTCTTCGCTTCTGTATTAAATCTTACAGATTGACTCACACAGGGGCTGGTCAAGAGCTGAAAATGCAGGTCACATCGCATTAACTTCATGCAACCGGACTAGATCGCTGAGCCTAAATAAAGTAGGTCCTAATTATGGATCCCGCTCGGCGCCCAAAACTCTTGACCGAACGGTGTCTCAGCGCACTTATAACCTTCCAAGAGCCTCCGAAGCCAACTTCGAACTGCAGGAATGTGACCTGAAAAAAGGCAATCTGGCCCAAGGTATGGTAAGGTTTGAGAACGCTCAGGAGCCCAAAATTTATTCTGCTGAACATACATATACCTCTTCAATTGAGAGTGGCAGCACAGAAGAGGCAGATGCCGACGAAGACGATGACGATGACTATGAGGACGACCACTATTATGCTATAGGAAAGCTGCCAAGTAAGAAAAAAGATTAATATAAAGTAAATAAATACATGTTTGCTAGTAGAAACGAGTAAATGCTATTGTGTATATGCATACATAAAGCACGATATACATTAATGATAGTATACATATGCATATATATGTTTATCAAAATATAAATAAAGAAATAGAGAAAGAAAGAAATATATATGTATATATATAAATGTTGATTTGATATGCTCGGCCCATTTTTTCGTATCGCTGCTCCACTCTTATGTGAATGCAGAAGTCTTTTTCTCAAGGACAGGGCAATTAAGACGTATCGTTGTGTGAGTGTGGCGTTGCTGTAGATTTTGATAATGAGTAGCTGAATTGTAACATCCTCCCTGAAGGGAGGATAGATAGATAACTCAGACATCTATTTGCAAACAATGGAAAGCATGATTGGAAATTGATAAGAGGCAACTGTAGAAGTTCGAATTGATTGAAATAGTCAAAACTTTCTAGTTTTGGGAAAAGACGAGTTGCTGTCAACGACAATGAATATGCTAGTTCACACTTAAAGGTGATGTGCAATGTAAGGCCTATTGAGAGGGTACCAGAGGAGACGTCAACCAGTGCCCGAGTCTAGCTCAGTAAGAAACAAAATGTGACCCTTTTTCCCATACCCTGTCTGTACATTTGCTAGCGGGCAGACAGCAAGCAAGGAGGGTGTGAGGCGAGTTGATTCGCAGATATTCACTGCGATAGGGCGTGAGTTTATTTTGACCTCTTGAGGGTGACCTCTCGAGTCAACTAAGACATGGCAGTAAGCTGAAAGAAAGGTGGGAAATAAGCTCTAATAAGTACTAAGCTCGTTGGGGCTGATGCTGAGAACACTATAAGTTCGAAAATGCAGTTTGGTGGGAGAAAGTGAGTGGAATTTTGTGACAGGAATTTCAACTATTCCCCATTTAATAAATGTTCATAAAC